ACATTGTATCGACATTGAGCGACCTTTTAACGTCGCAGGAGTATGATTCTGTGCCGTGTGTGCCTGCGTTGGAGTGTTCAGATGAGGAGAGAACAGAGTTAAGGGATGTCAATCAGTTAATTAACGTAAGTGAGGTAGAAGGTCCGAGAGTTCATACTGTTGCCGTAGAAGTTCACAAGGAGAACATTACAGGTCCTGATAAAGCTGAGGATGCTGTTTCTAGGAAACGTGTGGCTATCCCGCCCGACTCCGACGATGTCTTGACCCCTGGACAGCGTTCTGGGAAGAAGACGTGGTCGGAAGTCACGGGTGGGGGGTCGTGTGGCTCCAGGACAGTGAATAATATAACAGAGAATGTACAAGGTAAAGGTGGCGCCTTTGGCGTTAGTCAACATAAAGGGAAAAAGGGTGTGGTGGTCCCTCGAGGAAAACCACCATTAGCAAAGTTAGGTGTATAACCATAAATGTTAATGGTATGAAAAATAACAGAAAGCAAGTGCAGGTTCATGAGTGGTTGCATCGCTTTGCAGTAGAGGTATGTTTTGTGCAAGAACATAACCATAAAGTTGGAAGTTTGTTTGTGATAGATGGTTATGATGTTTATATGGCTCACTCGAGTCGTCTGAAAGGTGGCGTGGCTGTGTTGATAAAAGCGACCAGCCCGTTCGTGATGAAACATTGGGAGGAAGGGGGGGGTCGCGTGGTACGCGTCATAGGTGAGTGGGGTACTTAACGGGTTGGTTTTGTAGGAGTATATGGGCCAGCTGAACATGATGTTAATATTAAAAATACTTTTGTTAACGATGTTCTTGTGTACTATTTGAGATCCCTGCCTGATATAACAGTGGTTGGTGGCGACTGGAACTGTGTGGTGCGCCGTAAAGACGTAGAACCGAGGGGAGCAGGTTATTGTTCGATTATTTTCGGTGATTTGTTGTCTGGGCTGGGGTTGGTGGATGTAAGTTGAAGCAGTGACTTAGGGATTGAGCACACTTTCGTGCGTAAGGACTATGCTGCGCACTTAGACAGGGTGTATGTGTCTTGGCGGGTAGTTGTAACCAAAGTGAGTGTGTTAGACGTATATTTCTCCGACCATCGCGGTGTTCTCGTAGAGCTTGACTGGGGGGGTCTCCCAACTCGTTTTAAAGGATATTGGAAGTTAAATACTTGTTTACTTCAAAGTGTGGACACTCTTCACGCACTTATGGACGTCTATGGGAGTAGACTCCTTGGAAGGTAGTGATTTAGTGCGACAATGGGACGAGGTTATGAAGCCTTGAATTAAGGATTTTTATGTGCATCGGGGTAAGGAGGCCTCTCGACTGGAGTATGGATTTTTGAGGTACTTGGAGGGTTCTTTACAGCACTGTTATGCGCAAGGAGAGGTATCTGGAATTTACCCAGTGGGCGAAATTGACAATCTAAAGGAACACATCCAGGTACTGAAAAATACGGATTTTGATGGGGCGCATATTTCGAGTGGATCCGAGGAGGCTGTGTGGAGTGATAAGCTGTCTGCTTGTGTCTTACGTAGTCAGACACAAAGAAGGAAGGCGACCGAAATCGTGAGTTTAGTGGTGCAGGATGGCGTTGAAGGGTATAGTGAGGGTCAGGTTGTAACAACAACTGAAGGAATAAGTTATTATGTTGATAAGTGGTTTAATCTCAAAATGCTAAATAAATATGTAAGCGTGGATGCAATATGGGAACTGGGGCGGAATGTACGATGTGAGGTGAATGATAATGATCGCTTTCTCATGGGTGGGCCTACAACTGAAGCTGAGGTGTGGGAGGCTTTGCAGGGAATGTGCAAGGGCAAGGCGCCAGGTATTGATGGCATTCCGTGTGAATATTATATTCAACATTGGGAGGTCATAAGGACTTTTCTGGTACGTTTACTCAATGCGATGAAGGAGGGGGGACGTTTAAGTTTGTCTCAGAGTACGGCGGTTTTGGTGTTAAAAAGTGTGACATACCCGTATCACTTAAGGATTACCGACCAATATCGCTAATATGTAGTGATTATAAATTATATGCAAAAATTTTAATGAATAGGATTAAGAAAGTGTTTGACAAGGTAATACATAAGGGTCAGTTTGGCGTGCCAGGTCGGTCGATGTATGATGGTCATGGGAATATCAGGGAGTTTGTCGAGGAATGCGGAACGAGGGGCGGGGGTGGTGTTTTGGCTTTAGACTGGCAAGCTGCTTTTGATAGTGTAGAAAGGGAGGTGCTGTGGAAGTTTATGAGATGGCAGGGTTTTGGAAATGAGATCATCATGTGGGCTCGTTCTTTGTACAATGGTGCTGGGTTTCAAGTACAAATTAATGGGAAGTTAGGAGACGTTGTCAAATTGAATAGAGGCATTCGACAGAGATGCCCTATGTCTCAAATGTTCTTTGCTTGCATGCAGGACCCTTTTTATTGGACAGTTTGTGGGTGGGGAGTAGATTCGTCGTGGGGTTCGGGTAGTGATCGACCAGCCATAGTAGGTTATGTAGATGATACAACTGTCCTATTACGTACGTGGGAGCAATTGAGTTTTGTGGGAAGACTTGTAAATGTATTTGGTAAGGCAACAGGAATGCGGGTTAACAAAGAAAAATCAAAGATTATGAAGCTGGGAGATTGGGCGAGAGAGGAGGTAGGTATAGAGACTTGGACGGTGGTTGACTGTGTTAACATATGTGGTATACAGTATATGAGAGAGGTTGATAAGACGAGGGCATGAAATTCGGGGGGGGTGGTGAGATAGTGTTTTGAGGCGTATAAATAGTCTAGGCCACGGACATTTTAACCTACACCAGAGAGCGATAGTAATTAATGTTCTTCTTTATAGTAAAGTTTGGCACGTTGCTGCACTGTATCCACTAATACAGGGGGATCTCAAACATCTTTTAAATAGAGTTTATAGATTTTTGTGGGGCTCAGGGTGCGACTGGCTCAAAAGAGCGGTGGTAGAGACACCAATGCGTCAAGGAGGGTTAGATCTTGTTCCTTTAAGAGACCGAGTCATCGCTTGTTATGTAAAGCATCGTTTTCTCTGACTGGGTGGCAGGCATGGTGGTTTAACAGAAATGTATCGTGACCTGCGCAGGTGGTGGGGACAGACAGATTTAATTAGGTGCGAGTCGATGCTACGTGTGTTACTGTGCATGCGAGACATGCGGAGCGTTAAATTGAGTACTTTGGAAAGAATGGGTATGGTGAAAGTTGAGGTGAGAGTTCAGGGAATGTTACCCATGTACGCGTGGTGTGATATGGGGAAAGGGCGGGTTCATCAGTTACGCTCTTTCTCTGAGTACGCGAAGTGGTTTTTAAATTTTTGCATGGGATTCTGCCGTCCAAGGTGGTGTTGTCTAATCGGCGTGTAGAGGTGGACCAGAGTTGTTCAGCGTGCGGGGAGGACGAATCAGCGTTTCATGTTGTGTATTTCTGTGAAGCTTTAGGTATAGTACGTGCGTGGTTAAGCAGGGTTTTACGGATGGTAGGGGAGGGAGGTTTGTCGGTACTTAGGGCGTTGAGTTTTGATGTGGGTGGGGTTGACATCTGCATACAACTTTGCTGTGTCATATTCGAGCGATTATCTTTATGTGTCATGGGCCATGAGGCATGTTGAAGGTAATGGCAGAATCCGGGTTTTAGCGGGAACAATTCTTAGAACTAAGTGTCGAAATCATTTGGTATATGAGGGGTAAATGGGAGAAGATTTCCCGTATGCATATAGAGGTTAGAGTTAAAGGATTGAGATAATTTGTGTTCGTTCAGTGGGCAATCTACGGGCTGGTCAGCTGCGTTTAATTGTGTGTAAATGTCTTGTGTTTGTGAATGTTGTATGTATGTCTCCAATGTGATGATGACAATATATAAAAATGTAAAAAATTTTGTTTTGTGCAGAACTTTTAAAAGTTTTGCCTTTTTTATTCTTGTATACCAATCATTGGTATTTGTGTAGATGTGTTTTCCTATTACATGTAATATATGATATTACATTGTAATTGATTACATTATTTGTTGAGATGTAAAATAACACATCGTATTTGTTATATTTGGATGTTTTTGTCGTCGATTCATTAATACCTATGTCTATGTTGGTGTGTATGAGTGTGTTTGTGTGTGTGTGCTATTGTGTGTGTTGGTTTTTTAACACTGATTTATTATACAATCTATATACTTACCCGTGTGTGCTTGCCATTTGTATATACAACATAGTTAGACATGTTCTTTAATAATGTATAATGTGTTGTGTCTGAGTATAAAGCCATTGTCAATACTTTGTTTGTGTGTAAGGTGTATTACCATTATATTGTACGGTATCGTTGGTCGTGTGAGATTATTGTAAAATTAACCGCTTTCTTTTGTGTGTTTTTAATATACATTTATCATTGTGTATCTCACTGTTTTAAATAAAATATAAAAAAACTATCATCTTGCATGGAAGCTGCCTTTTTTCCTGTGATCCTGCCTGCCTCCCAACTCTACTTTAACAAGATATACTCAAAACAACTATCAGCCAGCTCAACACGTGTCCTCCGCTTTTCTATATTCGCCATACAATGCTCTGCGGCTGGGTTTAGCCCTGGCTTGTTCTCTGCAACTCGAGACGTTCCTCCCCAGAGCTATTCTTCGTCTGTCCCCACTTCCCCCATCACCTCTTGTGGATCTTACCTGTGAGTTGTTGTTGTTAAACATTTTAAAGTTACTGCTTACTAAACCTTGTTTTTTAACGAAGTAACGATGTATTTATAGAGAACTAATATAGTCTTGCAAAGGGTAAATGGGGGCATTACATGAGAGAATGGATAACAGGGGTAGGAGTTACGACTTAACTTAATTTGTTGTTCAAGACACATGAGCTAACACTTTAGACTTTGTTACTCCAAGGCTCCTGGACCGAAACATTTCCATAGATAAAATGTCCTGTTTGCTCGTGTGTCTTTAACCACAACTTAACGGTATTACATACCAGGTTTTGACCATAACTTATTCTGGTGACCTACTGAGAAGCAGAGCCTAGTGATGAGGCTAGCAGAAACGAGGCAAAGGACGCCACCCAGGTAGAAGGCTGCGGTGTAGTCCTTGTATCCTGGGGAAAAGGAAGTAGTGTAAACCATGTTAAGAATTCTACGATCTTAACTCATTTCAAAAGTCAAGTAACACCCGGATACCTACATACTGCTAGGTGTACAGGGGCAACAGGCGTAAGGAAACATGCCCAACGTCTCCACCTGTCCAGGATTGAACCTGGGTCTTTTGGTTGTGAGCTAAAGATGCTGCCACGAGCCACTTATATTCGTGTCTGATACTACTTGCAACTGACTCAGTTTTGTGCGTCCACGTATCACTTTTTTGTCAATATATTTATTTTGTGTATTGCTACATTAATGTTTTGTCACTGCATCAGTTTTGTACCTCCCTCCATCAACTCATTAAGCATAAATTGTGGCATGCTTGTGTCAGAAGCCAGACACAGGTGTGGTAAGATTGTGGACAATGGAGTTAGACTGCACATGCTGTGAATTCCATCTCACATTGGTCTTCGGATGCATAATAGAACTGATAAATTGGCTAAGCTGTATGCTTTCAAAGAGGGAGTAGATTACAATCTTGGCTTGTCAGGTAGTAGTTTGAGAACAATAATACGAAAAAAAACTTCAACTGAATTTCATTGACTTAAGACTCAGGGAGACTGACACAAGTCAGTCCATCTATCATCATTCTATCATGCAGGAGGAGCCACATGTCTATGGTGCATCCAACAAAATAAGCAGACTCTTGGATGTCACTACCGCCCGGCTCCGGCTGGGTTACAAATATCTTTGGCAGGTTAAATCACCACCAGCAGATGTAGACCAAACGAAATGTAAACTTTGCTAGATGGACTATTGTCACACCTTGCGTCATTATGTACTGGAGTGCGATAAAATTAATGAATTTAGACACAACTCACTCAGAATTGTTCAAGAAATGGCAAAGTATTTTATCCACAGTGGTATATAACACCATTCTAGAGAAATACCCTGACTTTGCTCCCTGTAAATAAAGTATTACCACGTTGTGTGTGTGTGTGTGTGTGTGTATGTATGTGTGTGTGTGTGTGTGTGTGTGTGTGTGTGTGTGTGTGTGTGTGTGTGTGTGTGTGTGTGTGTGTGTGTGTGTGTGTATGTGTGGAAAATTGCATTTATCTGTATGTATAATTACGTACATAACAATAAATGAGCATAGATAATTATTATTTATCAGTTAGACAAGTAGGAATTTGGGACACCTAGGTCGCAAAAATGTCCCCCTTCGATACCTACCACTGTCATATCCACAAGTTGCTCTGGACCTATTAATTAAATGAAATATACATACACCAGGAATTCTGGTAAATATATAAATTTGTGGACTATATATTAAAAAATTATTATATATAAATTCACATATACATAACAGAAGGAAAATATATCTTAATATCACTCACCAATTTGACTGGATATTAAGTTGTATCATACTCAGAAAAACCTCACTAACTAAATTTATGAAAACACTGGCCAGAATTATACACAAATCTAGAGAGCTTATCTGAGGTTTCTGGAGCTGTCTTGTCCAGTCGTCTGATATCTCAGGTTATGCAGGAATGCACATCCAACAATTTCGCCTCCTATTTGAGAGGTGTCAATCCAATTTTAACCTCTAGAGCACGAAAAATTCTTCCCATTATATTAACGTTGTATCCAATTCAAAACCAAGATAGCGAGTGTCTCATCTGTGCAGATGCAGGCTTTCCGTTTTCTATGACAAATATTATTAAATACAGTATGGCCATCTATTTACATATAAATACTGAATTTCTGGAAAATATATACAGTGTTTTCCACACTGCGGCCGGCCGGAGTTCGTTGCTAAACGATTCAAATTACTCCTTCCTTTAGGAGACGATTCCAGCCAGTTCTGGCTTGAGTGGCTGTTCTCCTAGTAGGTCTTACTACGATTTCATCTTCCGGCATCACTTGGTCTGCGTTATCTTCCATATCACTCGTGTCACTTTCCCTCAGATTTTCATATACGTTTGATTGAACACCTAATTCCAAGGGAATCAATTTATTAATTGTGCGTAAACTTTCCTGGCCACGACACAACACTTTGACATTCCTGACAACACCTTGTGCATCTGGGTACAATGTCAATACTTTGCCCAGAGGACACAATGTTCGATGTTGTTCAGTGTCAATTAACACAATGTCACCTGGTTGAATGGTCTGTCGATTTACTGCCTCTGTCGCACCATAAGTGTTCACCTAGCGTAAGAAGATATTCCTTACGCCACACATTAGACCAATGATCAATTACTTTATTTAACATTGTAAATTTATTACACAACACTGCCACATCATTGTAATCTTCATCACTTTCTTCCGGATTATCTCTATAGACGGGCAGCTTCCAATTTCCTTCCACATATTAGGTGAGAAGGTGTTAACACATCTGCATCAGGTGTATCACTCATGTACGAGAGAGGCCTATTATTTATACGATTTTCTGCCTCCACTAACACTGCACGGAATTCTTCCAAATTAATTCTCTTCCGGTGTAGTACTTTGCGGAGACACCTCTTCACTGTGCCTATCAATCTTTCGTACAGCCTCTCCTGCCAAGGGGCTCTAGGAGTAATAAATTTCCAGGTACACCCTCCCTGGGTTAACAGAGATTGAACATCGTTACCATTATTTAATTTTATCAAGTGTTGAACACCTGCTACAAAATTTGTGGCATTATCCGAAATCATCAACCTCGGACAGGATCTCCTAGCTGCAAATTTTCGAAACAGCTGTATAAACTGTTCTGCAGACAAGTCCTGTGCCACTTCTAAATGACTGCCCTAGTAGCAGTACAGGTGAACAAACAAACATACACTTTCAGTGGAACACCATTTGACGTACCTGTTAAAATTATTGGACCACTATAGTCTACACCTGTTACATCAAATGGTTTCACTAATTGTACACGCTCCTTTGGCATGGTGGAGGACCTGGGTACATATAGGATCTGGCAATCCACACGGCGACATATTACACAAAGATTTAATCACCCTTTTTACACTTTGCCGTCCTTGTGGAATCCAGGAAAGTTTCCCTAATACAATTTAAGGAAATCTTGTTTCCCACCATGCATTACATTTTTATGGGCATTTAGAACAATCAAATTTGTTAGATGATGAGTTTTGGGCAGTAAATTAGGGTGTTTAGCATAATCACCCAATTCAGCATTTGTAACCCTACCTCTGCACCTAATTACATTGTTCTCTAAATACAGCCCCAATTTCTCTATTATGGAACCTTTCACAATTTTTCTTTCCATCATCAATTTAATCTCATTTCCATAGATTTCCTCCTGTACCCTCTTTATCCAAAATTCAAGAGGATGTGAAAACTATATGAATAATTCATCTTGTTTAGATATTTAAACACCAACTTAGTTACACTGATTAGTTTGGGTAAAGAAGAATACCTATTTATATCAATGGATAAAGAAGGACAAACTATGGAGCGGTGGTCACAGTAATTTCAACAGGAGCAATATACGCTTTGTACAGGCCAATTAGCTTTATTTACCAACCAGCTGGGTTTCCTTTAAACCATGATACAGCATTTATCAAATTTAGCATAAGGTAAACCTCGACAAGAAATCAGCTGGATTCTCCTCACAGGTATATGATTAAATGTTAACATATGCTGACCCAAACTATTATTACTTCTCTTGCATCTGATTAATTTCAGCGACTCTGTTTTGTATGTAACAATTTTACTGTTTCCATTACGAATCAATTGTAAGGATATCTCATTATCAGACAAATTACAGTGTTGCTAATATTTATCTCCTGCAACTTATTTCTTATATAATTAGCTAATTTGACACCTACATAAATGGCTGTTAATTCCAACTGAGGTAAGGTACGTGATTTAATTGGAGACACTTTAGCCTTAGACATAACAAGAGAAATAACACTATTACATTGAAGATAAGCAACTGCTCCATATGCCAATTTTGAAGCATCACAAAGAATGTGGAGTACATTTTTCCCATTTGGATTGGCCACCTGGCGCGGGAACTCCAACATTGGAATTTTCTCATATTTTTTTATTATTATTATCACACTGGCCGATTCCCACCTGTTAATGAATTCCTCAGGTAGAATTTCATCCCAAGCACATTTAAGTTTCCATGCTTCCTGAATTAATAATTTCCCTCTTATAGTAAGGGGTGACACTAAACCTAGTGGATCAAAACATTTGGAAACTTCAGCAAGCAAAACTCTCTTAGTTAACTTATTGGGCATACTGTAATTATTAGGTTTTAACATTAACAAATCTCTCTCAGTATCCCAATTTAAACCCAATACATTACTACATTTTGGCACTTCATCTCCAGGGTAATCTTTACTTATTTTGTCCTTCAATTTTGATGAATTACTATTCCATTCTCTCAGAGGCATATTTGCACTTTGCATTATTTTATTAGCCTCTCCATAAGTCATTAACAGTTCCTCTTCAGTTGACATCACACCCAGGAAATTGTCCACATAAAATTGTTTGCTCATTACTTTACTCAATGGACTTTTCATACGTTTAAGGTGTGCATTTATAGTTGCTTGAAGTAGGAACAGACTGGATGTAGCACCAAATAATACGCTCCTAAAGCGAAAGGTTTTCAGAGGGCTAAGTGGGTCAATAGGATTCTCAGGCCATAAGAAGCGGGTACAATCCCGGTCAGCCTCTTGTAAACCCACTCTTAGGAAAGCTTTACTTATGTCAGCTGTAAAGGCATAATTCTTTACTCTGAAATTTAATAAGATATCTCCTAATTTTTCCATCAACGACGGACCTGTCATCAAACAGTCATTTAAACTAGGTACATTTTTGTTACTCCTGGCACTACAATTAAACACAATCCTCAAAGGAGTGGTCTTAGAATCCTTCTTCACTCCGTGATGTGGCAAATAGTGACCATAAATTTTGGCTTGCTTAGGAGGTACCTCTTCTATAAATTTATTAATTAACTGCTCAGTAATTATATCATTATAGGCAGTTAACAATTCTGGTG